TTTTAGAAAGCATTTCAACTGGAGTTTAAACTGAGTACCGCTAAGTAGTAAAAACAGATTGGACAAGAGACAAATGTTCACACTTAGACCAATGGCACTCTTAATAGCATTTACCAGTCAAGTGCTTTTACAAAAGTTCTTGCAAGAACACTGAAACATCTTGCATGGAGTATGGGGACACTGTGGGGGACACTGGAGGATTCAGAGCACTTTAAAACTAGAAAATGTGAAGCTGTGAGATGGTATGGCTAGAACAATAACAGGAAGAAGTGACAATCAGTTCTTGTTCCTTGGCTCAAATGCAACAGAGTTCATCTGGCTATTTGCACCAGACTACCAAAACACTTCCCTGACAAGACACACTTATCATCTTCTTGGGTGCGTTGCCTTCTGCGTGCTCCCAAGAAGAAGAGAAGATTGGTATTTGGATGGCAATAGGAAGAGATCCAAAGATCAACAAAGATAGCAATACATAGTAACTTCTTTTTCAGGAAAGTCTGAAAAATGATTACACGTTGGATGTTCATGTGGTAGGCGAGTGGGTAATAGCATCACTGAAAACCTCAGTAGAGACCTGTTGGTTCTAGGATAAAAATTAAGAAGGAGTTGGACTGGAATTAAATCTTTTGCTACTGACATTCTTCCTCGTTAAGTGTGAACAAGAAGTATTGTATATATGATTTATTATATCTCTTTTTTTACATAGTTTACTAAAATATGCCTTGTTTACTTACAGTTTTCGGCCCTTCTTCACCCTTTGCTGTGTTTGCATTTCTTGCTCAATCTGTGCTGGCTACTTTGAAAAAAGAAGACATATTGCATTTTTTTGCTTTTAAAATATTTTTTACATGATCAAAATATTAAGATTTATTTTCTATCCAAGTGATTCAAAAGCTATTTGAATGAAAAAGCCAGTCAGGTAAGCCCTGGATATTTTTACTAGTCTGAATGTATTTGCAATAGGGCTTCAAAAAGACAACTGGTTTTGTACTGGACTGTGGTTTAGAGATGAGTTTGAAGGAGTTAATTAAATAATTTGAAGGTAAACCTTGAAGGAAACAGAAGCTCAGTCAACATGTAGGGGAAGAGGTCTGCTTTTAAAAGAATTTGTTTTCCAAGGAATACAAATATGTTGCCAGGTGTTACCTGTTAGGAAATGACTCCAGAATCCAATTGTCAATTTGATTTATGAATGTTATAGGTAAAAATACAACTGTCTATACAGACTTTGGGTTATGTAATAGTGTGCTAAAAAGCTCTTCAAGTCAGTTGCTCTAGTATTAGATCAGATATCACCTCTCTAAAATGAATAATGTTTGAATTTTGAGACCAATTGTGAAGTGAGGACACAGTGCATTAGATTGCTGCGTTAGCACAGAGGCTCCTATGTTCTATACAATGTAGCATTAAAAGGCCTTTTGTGTTTTCATTTAAAAAAGTGTATTTCATATAAATTCTGTAGTGCAAAAACTTCCTACACCATGTTACATTCTTTACATTACACTGTATGCTTCCCCTGTAAACAGCTTTCCTGTAGGAACTTCCTTTGCAGTTTGTGCGATATATTATTGCCCCCATCCCACCCAGAGTTGAATTAATGTGACTATCACTCAAAAACTGTTCTAATTACTCTGTGAACATTTTTTAAATACGTGCATTTGGTTTCATCATTGAAAAGGAATTAAAACTTTGATTCACGATTCTGCATTTCATAAAAAATATAAAAATAGATTCATTGCAAAACTATCTCCCTGAACATTCTTTATTTTCCAGTGATACGAGGAATCAGACCCCTTTCAGGTGAACAGGGGAGTCACTTCTTCCTAAGACTCCTTATGTTGTTTTGAAATCACACAGCTGAAATTGGAGACTGACTCCAGAACTCAAACACATTCTCCCCTTACTGTGGTGAATGGGTAATATGTCTGAGATTTCTTGAAAGTTTTAGAAAACCAGAAAAATATACTTGCGTAATTTTGCATAATTTGCTGCATATCAATTCATGATGAATGAAATGTTCCTGGATTGCACTTCTTACATCTGCTGTACTGGATTGAAATCTAAGTCCAGTCCTGCAACTGCTCAAGTAGATGTTTTAATCAGGAATTATGCACGAGCTAGGTATCCAGAAATGGGATCCTGTACATGCAGTCAAGACTGGAAAAACTGTATGTCTAAAACTGTGCTTCTGGAAATAGTATTCAGCATAGTCAAAAGTATATAATGAAATTATTCAAAAGTACTTCCAAAGCTCAATCATTTTGCTTCCAAGATTTAAAAAAAAAAAAAAATCATCTGTTAATAAAGTGAATTGCATTTCTTTTGCTTCAAAATAAATGTGTTTCTCTGAAAACATTTAAAATACAGTGGCCAATAAGGGCCTGGTCTTTCATCTGATTTATATAGTTAAAACTCCTGTTGATTTTCATCAAGAGGGAGAGAGTTTTGCCATCCTCATTTATATTTCAGTCAGTCCCTTTTTCCACCAGACTCCCATTGGTTTGAGGGGAAATTCATCTGCACAAGGATTGAGGCCTTAATTTTACCACTTTCGAATTTTTAGTGATTTTAATAGGGCAGAATAAACTTTGCATAAAGTTCAGCTCAGAAGAGCTTAAGGAATCAAATCTGTTCCTGCAATATGATCCCTATGGCTGGACTCCTCCCTTTCCATCAAGTGGCACAGGTCCGAGGGGGCTTCTCCAAAGTGTAAGGGTCACGTGGGAGAAGAAGGACACAAACCTCAATCTTGCCAGAACACCATTATTGTCTTGAAAGATAATTTTCTGTGGATCCAGAGTATGGAACCAGGTCCCATTTGGTCTTAATTTGGACTTCAATAGTTCACTAGGATGTAAAGGCAGATTGAACAGGCCCATGTGATTTCATAAAACTGCACATAGAAAATACAAACCAACACTTCAGGCATATAAAAATTGACTGGCATTTGGTTTCAGTCACCAAAAATATCCAGGAACTAAAAAATAAATAGAGAAGATTAATGACTATAAAATATCAAGAGCTAAATTTTGGGACAGCGAGACACAACATGATTGAAAAATGTTACGCAGAATGCCATATAAATACACAAAACTGAATGCAGCAACAAGTTGCAATGAACTGCAACTAAAGAAAAAAAATTATTTTGAGAATTAATGACCAGATATTTTTTGAAAAACCCCCATTATATTCCCAGTTATTGACTGAAGAGACACTTCAATATTATCTTGTTACAGACATTAGAAAACTTATGGAAATATAGAAAATGGGTTTTTTTAACCAAATGATAGTGCTGTGCTCATTGTTGGGCCCAGTCACCAGGATCCTTATTTTGGGGCTCTTTAAACTTGCCTCTTTTCCATGGGGCTGGCTTGAGTGAGGTCTGTGACATCAGTCCAGCCATTTCAATCAAAGGGCAATGTTGCAAGAAAAATGATTGCTCCTTTGCATTAAATGCATTAGGTGCCTGGTTGCTACTTATTTAAGTGACAGAAAATGACAGATGAGTAAAAATTAACCTAGATCCACTATGGTAAGTAGAAGCCTGATGTTCCAAACCATCCATTGGTTGGTCTAAAGTGCTTTTAAGGCTTCCTAAGAAAAAAAAAGGGGAATATTTTGCAGGATGGGCTTTTTATTATTTTGGGAATTAAAGCAATCTATAAGTTTTTTTTATATTATAGCATAGGAAGCTAAGGATGCTGGATAAAATAAAAAATAGCTTTTTTTCAGATGGTGGTTAGATGGGTACTTTGTAATGAAGGATTTGGTTCAGCATCTTTCTTTTAAAAAGCTGGAGAAGTCAGAGAAACCAAAGATGCTTTGGTAGTTGTCAATGGAATGATTGACATTTCCCTTTATTTAAGTATAGCAGAAAGCCTATACTCCGATTTGGAACAACAATGGAAGGATGGGTTGAGGCAAAGTTGGTGAGTCAAGTGATATCTTCTGTCAGTTCAAATCACTGAACTCAAAACCACAGACAAACTTTGGGGTATGGAAGACCTGGGGCAAATCACATATACTTGAAGCCTGTTTTTCTTCAGCTATATGATTCATGACAACAAAAGGTACCACTTCCCCCTACAAAACTTGTCTCTTATGTCCTTACACCACAATGGCTTCAACAACATTGCCATTACTGAATTATGAGCACTGCATGTAAAACAAAAGGAAAGAGAGCTCAAAGACCATGTAGAAGCAAAAAGTGTTAAATCAAAGGAAAAAAAGTGAATGTGGAAAATATTTTTAATACCAAATTATATTCCAAGAGGTTGAAAACTTTTGTATATATCTGTATAGCCATTTGGCACTATTTATTGCCACAGAAATAACTATGGTGTGTAAATTTTAAAATGGAGCTTTTTCTTCAGTTATGAAATGTTGGCAGTTTTCTATAAAAATATCCAATGCTTCAAGTTCTGGTCATTAAATCTTTGCTTTTCCTTAGGATCATTAATTAAACTGACAAATGCAATAACTGAAGTTATGCAAATAAAAAAACTATCATGATTTACAGCACAGATAAACTAAAATACTGTAGTCATTAATTAACAGATATACTCATGAGCTTTTTAACAGAAAGCAAGATACGTGAGATGCTTTAAGTAGAAGTTGCAATTTTGCAACATAAGTCTGTACAAAACCTCCAGGCAGCACGCTGTGAAGGAAGTACCTGTGTCCCAGGAAATGCTTTTTCCATAAATCCTTTTTAACAGTAGCTGTACCCCCAACCCCCAACTATTTACAAATATATGCATTTTGCAAGCTCAAAGCACCTTGTTTCACATCTTTATGAATGCATGCATTGACATTTCATCCTTTCATGTGCAAATTCTAAAATTCATTATAACCAAGAAAAAAAATTAAAAGAGTTCAAAACCTGTCTACAATCGTAAGTGAAAGGATAAAAAATGTCAGATGTTGCAGAACACTGGCTCCTAACAGAGCTCTCTTTATTTTATTCACCATTCTTGAGTAATTTTTTCTGGTTTTTTTTCAGTTTGTTACAAAAAGCAGTCTTTTTTTTTTTTTAAATTAAACAGTATTTAAACTAAACAACTCTTCATGCCATGCAAAAATAACATTTTATGCACTTTTGTTGAGGCTTTCCATGTTTTAGTTCATAGGCATTACTAACAGTGTTTTAAGAAAAGGTATTTTTATTGCTTCTGCAACTAGTCACATGCTAGTTTCACGTGTGGGACAATAACCAGTTTCTCCTGGACTTGAATGAATTTCTGGGGCAAATAAATGGTTTTCCATTTTGTGACCTTCTTGGTTACTGTCTGGCTTTACCTCACCCACAGCATGGTAAATGTCTTGAGTACAGTTGTGGCTCATGCTTTTGGGTGAAGAGCTGACCTGTGGCTCCTCTGTTAAATTGTTGCCATCACTGCGTTTATCCCCACAGCAATTTGTCTTGATATCCTGTTGTTTTTCATGTTTCATACCATGTAACTCCATAAACTCTTCTTCTTCTCCAGTGTCTATTTCAGTGAAGCTCCTTCTCTCTTTTGAAGGGAAAGTGAAAATCTTTTGCTTGGGAAAGAGAGGGGATGATCTTTTAACAGGTCCCTGACAAAGTGCAGATGCATCAGCACCAAGTACAGGTCGTTCACCTTGTGGGGAATTTTCTTCTAGGAGAATGGTGCTGATGTGCTGGGGGGTGGCCTGTGTGAAGTCTGCTCCTGCTATCACTGGCAGTGGCCTCGCGGTGCTCGGTGGAGTTTGTGGAGCACCACCTCTATTGTCTTTAAAATTAACTTTAAGGGATCTAGATTTTAATGGGTTGCTACCTTTCAGGGAACTTTTGGGGCTTTCCATGGAAGTGTCAAAATGCAAATGACCATGTAAAACAGTTTGGGACCCACTGCCATCACTGATAACAGCTCTGTTGATTGGATTATAGTCAAAGGTGACGTCAGTTGGAGAAAATCCTCTGTCTTTTGCAAATGGTATAAACTGAGAACTCCTCAGTCTTTGGTTTTCTTCCAGGTTAACAGTATCAGCTGGAAATCTCATTTGCAAGTGAGAGCCAGGAAACAGAGAGAGGGGAGACCTCTCTGTTTCTGTGAAGTCAGTTGCACAACTGGCAAAACTGTCGATACTGGATGTGCTTCTCATGTCCGTTATGATGTCTGCAGGTCCAGTTGGTAACGGATCTCTCTGACCTGAAACTTCTTCCATTTCTATTTCCTCTTCATACATGGGTGGCTTTGCAGACTGGTCTTGGTAACCAGCATTAAGGTTAGGCTGAGACTGAGTTTTAGTAATTTCATTATACAACATCTCCAGTTTTTGGGCACTGAGGTGCTGAGGGCTGGAGGATGCTGCAGCATTGTTTAATTGCTCATGAGAGTCTTGTTGACTAATTTCTTGGTACTTGTTCTCATATGACTTGTTTGAGCTTGTTTCAGACATTGTCCTTCTGGCCCATTTCCACCGGCTTGGGGAGAGGTGGTTGTCATCAGATGTCTCCTTTGGACTGACTGCTTCTCCAAGCTTACCTGAATCTACTGCTACATCTATCATTTCCATACTGCGAGCAAAGGCATCTTTAAGATTCATGGAGACAATACTGCCATTTCTTTTAGCTCGCTCAAGTGCTTCTCTCCTCTTAATTGCCTTCTCCTGTCTTTTCTGCTCCTTATAAAACTCTGAGAAATTGTTCACAATAATTGGTATGGGCAGGGCTATGACCAGCACTCCAGCGATACAGCAAAGTCCTCCAACTATTTTACCTAATAAGGTCTTAGGATAAATGTCACCATATCCTACAGTAGTCATAGTGATTGTTGCCCACCAGAATGATGCAGGGATACTTGTAAATTTTGTAGCATCCTCGTCCTTTTCAGCAAAGAATACAAGACTCGAAAATATCATTATTCCCATGGCTAAAAATAATATCAACAAGCCTAATTCATTGTAACTCCGCCTGAGTGTAAAACCTAAAGACTGAAGGCCTGTTGAATGTCTGGCAAGCTTAAGAATCCTTAGGATCCTCATAATACGAAATATCTGAACCACACGTCTGACGTTTTGGAACTGCAGGACACTTTTATTGGACTCTGTGAGGAAAATGGTGACATAGTATGGCAAGATAGCCAGTAAGTCAATGACATTTAATGGGCCTTTGAAGAACTTCCACTTATTTGGTGAGGACAGAAAACGCAAAAGGTACTCCATGGTAAACCAAGCAATACACACAGCTTCAACGTGTGCTAGCTGAGGGTTGTCATTTGGCTGCCCAAATTCATCTATTTCTTGCAGCTCTGGCAATGTGTTAAGAGACAAAGCAATAGTGGACAGTACGATGAACAGAATGGATACAATGGCCAAAATCTGTAAAACAAAATAAACAATAGTTTGGTTAGACTGATAGAAATGTACTTGTCAGGGCTTGCTTAAATCCTTTTAAATGTGCATGTGTCAAATAAACACAGAATGGTGGAAGCTGCTTTGGCTGCTACATTTATTATTTTTTTTATTGTTTTGAATTTTGCACAGAGAGAAAACATTAGAATCATCTTAAACATGGTCAAAACCTGATTGCTTTACTGCCTGCAGTAAACCAATTCATTTCAGAAAGCAAGCCATGACTGGTCTTACCATTTTAAAATTACAGTAGGAGGTGATATTTATTATTGCATGTTACCAAGTGAATATATAGTTCCTGCTAATGTGATGAACATTATTAATTTTCTGCATTAATTGTCATTATGTAAAACTTTACACAGTGCAGAGAATTGATTGGGAATTACTGTGTTTAAGCTCTTAATTTAGTACTACATAGTGCACACCTTTCTAGACAAGCATAAATCTACGAGCTGGATAAACAAGAATCATTGTTCAGGAGACTAGTCCTGCCTAATTGTCATATCTAAAAAAATTTCAGATGCTACAAGAATTGAAGGCATTGGCCCTGAATTAGGTTGAGAGTAAGATCTTATAAAGCAAGTAGTATGAAGGAGAACTCAGTTTCTCATCATTATTAAAATGTATGTACAAAATTGCTTCCTAGAAATGATGTTTTGATTTGCCTAAGGATATGGGTTTTCTGATAAATTTTGTTACTTATTTTCATAGAATCATAGAATCCTAGAAACATAAAGGTCAGAAAACATCCCCAAAATCATCAAGTCCAACCTTTGACCAAACGCCACCATGCCACTAAGCACCATGCTAGTCATTTCTTGAACACATCAAGGGATGGTGATTCCCTAGGCATCCTGTTCCAATGCCTGACAACCCTTTCAGTGAAGAAATTCTTCCTGATGTCCAAGCTGAACCTGCCCTGGCACAGCTTGAGGCCATTTCCTCTTGTCCTGTCACTGGTTGCCTGGGAAAAGAGGCCAACCCTCTGCAAACCAAGGCCAACCTTGCTGCAAACTCCTTTCAGGTAGCTGTAGAGAGTGATGAGGTCTCCCCTGAGTCTCCCTTTCTCCAGGCTGAAAAACTCCAGCTCCCTCAGCCACTCCTCATAGCACTTGTGCTCCAGTCCCATCACCAGCTGTGTTGCCCTTCTCTGGACACACTCCACCACCTCAATGTATTTCTTGTAGTGAGGGGCCCAGAACAGGACACAGCACTTGAGGTGTGGCCTCACCAGTGCCGAGTACAGGGGGACAATCACTGCCCTCGTCCTTCTGGCCACACTATTTCTGATCCAAGTCATGATACCACTGGCCTTTTGACGACCTGGACACATTACTGGCTTGTGCTCAAATGGCTGCTAAGCAGCACTCCCACGTCCTTTTCCACTTGTCCACTTTCCAGCCACTGTTCCCCAAGCCTGTAGCACTACATGGGATTCTGGCCAAAGTGCAGGACCTGGCACTTGGCCTTGTTGAACCTCATACAGTTGGCTTCAGCCCATCAATCCAGCCTGTCCAGATCCCTCTGCAGAGCCTTTCTACCCTCCAGCAGATCAACACTCCCATCCAACATAGTGTTGACTGCAAACTTACTCAGGGAGCACTCGATCCCTACATCCAGATCATTGTTGAAGACATTAAACAGGACTGGACTCAATACTGAGCCTTGGGAAATCCCACTAGTGACAGGATGCCAGCTGGATGTAGTATCCTTCACCACCACTACCCAGGCCTGGACATCCAACTAGTTCTTAACCCAGCAAACAGTACACCTGTCCAAGCCACAGGCTGCCACCTTCTCCAGGAGAATGCTGTGGGAGGCAGTATCAAAGGTTTTATTGAAGTCCAGACAACATCCACAGCTTTTCCCTTATCCACTAGCCAGGTCACCTGGTCATAAAAGGAGATCAGGTTGGTCAAACAGGACTTGCCTTCCCTAAACCTCTACTGGCTGGGCCTGATCCCCTGGTTGTCCTGTACATGCCATGTGATCACACTCAAGATGATCTGTTCCATAACCTTCCTGGCACTGAGGTCAGGCTCACAGGCCTGTATTTCCCTGGATCATCCTTCTGACCCTTCTTGTAAATGGGTGTCACACTGGACAACTTCTAGCCATCTGTGACCTCCCCAGTTAACCAGGACTGATGATAAATGATGGAGAGTGGCTTGGCAAGTTCTTCAGCCAGTTCTCTCAGTGTTCTCAGGTGCATTCCATCTGGCCCTATAGACTTGTGAATGACTCAGCAGGTCACTGATTCCTCCTGGATTGCAGAGGGTTTATTCTTTTCCCTCTCCCTGTCTACCAGCTCAGGGGGCCAGTTGCCCTGAGGATAAATGGTCTTTCTATTGAAGACTGAGGCAAAGAAGACATTAAGTACATCAGCCTTCTCCTCATCCTCGGTGACAATGTTCCCTCCGGCATCCAATAAAGGATGGAGATTTTCCATATCCCTCTTTCTGTTGCTGATGTATTTATAAAAACACTTTTCATTATCTTTCACAGCAATGGCCAGACTGAGTTCTAGCTGAGCCTTCTCCTTTCTAATTTTATCTCTACATGGCCTAATGACATCTTTGTACTCTTTCTGACTTGTGTTCTTCTTCTTCCAAAGGTGTTATACTCTCTTTTTTTCCTGACTTCCTATGAAAGCTCACTGTTCAGCCAGGATGGTCTTCTTCCCTGCCAGCTTGTCTTTTGACACATAGGGAGGGCTTGCCCCTATGCCTTTAAGATTTCCTTCTAAAAGTATGTCCAGCCTTCCTGGACCCCATTGTTATTAAGAATGTTTCTGAACTCTCTGAACCAGTGTTCTGAACAGGCCAAAGTCTGCCCTCTGGAAGTCCAAGGCGGAGGTTTTGTTGACCCCTTTCCTTACTTTAAAGCTCAGTTGAAGCTCATTCATAAAAACATTTACTCTCATTTCTCAGAAATAGTACTGTTAAATCCACTTGGTGATGTTCCAAGAACACACTAAGTCTGACAAAATTGCTGGAACACTGAAGAAGACTGAAATGCAGCTAAGCAGAACGCAAGTATGAAGGGTGTATGCAGAGAAATTGGTCACAGTGGTGCTAATGGGTACAGAGATGGAAAGGCCACCCCACTGTAGCTTTGAGAAAAATATCAGTAAACTTTTTTTATCTATGGGTTACTAATCAAAGATTCAGTTCTTTAAGTACAAACTGAAATTGGTCATGGTGTGACGGTCTGTGTTTGGCATCATCTTGTACTTATATGCTAACTTCGGCCTTTTCCAGCTACTAATTGTACAGAACAGGTATCACCTTTAATATTCTGAATTATTCCAAACATATTTATTTGTATTTCTCCCTACCAGTGCTGATTCTCTCTCTCTCACTTTTTTTTTTTAACTATATTTATTGGAGAAATAAGATCTGTTAATTTCTCCTGCCAAGTGAGTTGTGGACCACCTGTCTTCATTCTTCATATAGCCCATTCAAGAAACATCCTTAGGTTAATCTATCCTATTTAGGACGGCTATACATCCCTTTAAAATTTCTGCTACCCATATCAGCAAAAGAAGACGATCTTAGTAAAGAATGAGGGCAATAACACTGCATACTTGGGCAGAGCTAATTAACAAAATTTGTGATGTCCTGTAGCTAGGACAGAAACAGACAAAGGGCAACACTATAAGAGAGCAATAACTGCCTTTCAAACTGTGAAAGGTGCCTGTATCAGATTTCACTGGAATAAAACTACAAGCTTAAATAATATACTAGTAAATAGTATACTAGGTTATCCACATCACCGAAATCACTGTGAAATAGCTAATGCAGTCTTGAATTCTCTAAAATACTCAATAACTTAATTATCTTTTCAGAATCCAAAGAACAAATGAACAAGACAGAGGTCTGAATTGTTGAGCTTGCAGTTTCTGCCAAGCTGATGGAGCCCCACTGGGGCTGGCATCAGAATGTAAATAACAGCACTGGAAAAAACTGTATAATACCAGGACCCAATTACTTGACATGCATTGTTCATTAAAAAAAGAAAACTGTAAGAACATATCTGCCCAATTGTCATCAAGCTGATTTTAATTAGGCATTTCACTCTGTCATGAGGAATTTACTTTATCCCTAAACGTTCACCAGCATACAAAAGATCCTAGAAAAGAGGTGAGTCAGTGAATGTGACATCACTAAAACTACATGCATTTTATAGGTCTTGAACACAAAACTTTCCTGTTCAGAGTTGCCACCCAGGGTGTTTTATTGAAAACAACCATCTATATGTTTGTTCCAGCCATTCATTCACATGCTTGTAACACACAAGCCTGAAGTCTGCCAGCTATTTAAAAAAAAAAAAAGCAGTATATTCCAGTCTATCAAGCCTGGAATTTTTAGTGTTTTATCCGTTTCATCTATAAGCATGAGTCTGTTCTTGGTGAAAAAAAATTACAGCAAAGTACAGTAGTTTGGTTTCTTCTAATGTAAGAATCTAAAACTTTTATTTGTCTGAGACACTGTTATGTATTTAAAGTTATGCATCATTCCACATAGAATATGTTTTAATTATTGCAATTCATTAGATTTCACAACACATTAGGCATAAAAATGCCGAGAGAATACCAGGAAGAGCAAGAAAAACTATGAGAAAAAGAAGAAGAAAAAAAGGAACTCCCTATTCTACTATCTACAAAGAAGACTTTGCAGATAGTACTATGCTGGTAAATTATCATAGAACAGACGTATCTTACATTAACAGAAGTACAGAGTTTATAAGAAAGACCTGTAGCAATCTGCTAGGCTGGCTATGCTGAAGAGTAAAAAACCACTGCTGACTGAATCTTTCCCAGGAAAATTTACTGTTTTCTAGGTATATTTCTGGAACTGTATTCTAGACTGAAATAACTGGAAAATTTGTGTACTCCAGGTATTAAACTATGACCAGTTCTTGGCATACTATTTTTAACCTGCATTTCAGAATATAAACAATACTCT